TCCCTGAAGAGAAATGTGTAAAAGTATCTAGGATATGCCTGCCGCCTTCTTAAGTTCTTGGTGAGCCTTACTTTCTTTATTATCTTGTTGTTTCATCTTTTTAGTTGATTTTTACTGAGGACAGCAAGATGTGCTTTGGATTGAAAGGGAAGAAAACTTTTAAGAGGGCCCAGAGGGTGGCATAGTGGTAACACACATACTTTGCAAGGCTAGCCCATATGGAAAGGGTACAAGTTCGTGTCCAGGGTCCTCCCTGAGTACACAAGGTCAAGATCCAGGGCTGGCTGAGGTTTGGAGCGAATCAAGGCATCAAAACTCTGTTGGGGACACTGCCTCTCTGTCTCTCTCACTCATAGATGAAATAAAGTAGAAAAAAAAACTTGCGAGGATTTAGTTTTATTTCAGGTAGTCCACCTAGAATGAAAGGAGTATTTATGTCCATTCCTTATTGTATTTGTGTAAGTGAGAGCAAATATGAAATTTGTATATTACCAGCTTGATTCTTTGAATGGCTTAATGCCGTAATTATTTAAAGTCTTTTTTTTGTCCATTAGAAATATGAAATGTGAGGCTTCATTTATATTTTGGATACTTGAAAAGAAAAATAAATAAAACTCACCATGACAGAGTCTAAATTAAAAGAAAATTACAGTTTTTCTCTTCTTAATTGAGAATATTCAGAGAAGCAAGAGGCTTATGCACATACTTGGAAATTATCACCTGAAGCAGTAACTATTAAGCTGTCTTGTCAAGTACCACTTGGCTTGCATTTTTAATGATATTTGTGGTATCCTGGACTTTGCACAGACAATGACTGAGAGTTGCTTGGTTTATAACCTTGGGAAGTGCTGCAGTTCCTTTTTCTTGTACTCGCTAGCAGGATCCTACTGGAATATATGATGCAAAAATAGGTCTTCTGTAAGGGATTTAAGGCAAGTGATTTAAAATGTGTGTGTTTTGTATTGGGAGACTATCATTTACTAAAATAAATAGTTAAATCATATAACATTTTTATGTCTTTTCCTTGGAAAAGAGGTTTTTGATGATGTTTTCCCTTTTACTAGTTCAAACAATGTGTATTAATCTTATTATACTAAATTTGGATTTTACTGTTTTCATTTGGTTACTCGAGGTGTTCTTTTGCATTAAATATTAATCGTGGCACTCAGGAGCCATTTATAATGGAGATTGATAACCTAAATAGCTTAGGGGAGAAAACATAACTAGTGTAATTTCAGAGTGCTGAAATAGAAAGCCGGTTTGAAAAAATCAGAGGCTGAAGTAGAGTTTATACATTTTGAGGGAGGACAAAAATGAGATTAAATCAAAGAATTAAGGCTTTGCCTAGCACCATAATGTGAATGTTGTTAGGGAAGATAAGATCTTGACATCTCTCTCCTGTGAATTTAAGGAGCTCAGAATTTTATTATACCTCATTAGCACCTTTTACTTCTGCCTGTGTGATGGCAGCCTGACTTTGGAGGGAGGCCATCTGAGGTATACAGTTTATTTGCATCTCTTTTTTTTTCTTTATTTAACTTATTTATTATTATTTTCCAGTTTGATCAGAGAGAAACAGAGAAAGAGATAGAGGGAAAGCGAGAAAGCAAGCCGCCATGTGGGAGTCTAGCACTTTAACCACCACACCACCTGTCGGCCCCTATTTGCATCTCTTGAACCACCACATTTTCCACATCTTTGTCATTTGAACAGAATCAAGAAATAAGGCTAAATTTAATTTCATGTCTAAAGAAGTGACTTTTTCTTTTTCATTTATGTAGGTTTTTGTCATAGGGTGCATGTGCTCCCCAGAGACAGAGAGAAAGAAATAGTGAGAGGGAAAGTGAGAAATCA